GAGTACAGAGCTTGTGTGGTGAAGGGTAGAAATAATCTGTGGCCTTAGCATTGTGTGGCAAGTACAAAATAAACCACAAGACGAGAAATGGGAACAAAAGCAATTTCTTTTTTAGTTGGAGTCTCACTCTGTTGCCCAGGCTGGAGTGCAGTGACATACTCATAGCCACCACAGCCTCGACCTGCTGGGCTCAGGTGATCCTTCTGCCTCAGCCTTCCAAGTAGCTGGAACTACAGACGTGCACCACCATGCCCAGCTAATTTTTTTTTTTTTTAGTTATAGAGATGAGGTCTTACCAAGTTGCCCTGGCTGGTCTCAAACTCCTGGACTCAAACAATCCTCTTGCCTTTGCCTCCCAAAGTGCTGGGATTACAGGTATGAGTCACTGTACCCGGCTTAGCAATTTCATTGCAATAGTTCACTTAAAGTCTCCACCCACCACCATTTTCCAAAATGCATTTCTGTTTACCTGAGCATTTGCTGTGTAATGTTATGAAGTATATTTGTGCCATTTCCGGTTGACATAGATCTGGTTTCACCAGAATCTATGCAAGCTACCAGTAGTTGAGAAATACAAGGCTGGGGGCGGTGACTCACACCTGTAACTCAGCACTTTGGGAAGCCGAGGTGGGAGAATCGCCTGAGCTCAGGAGTTCAAGACTAGCCTGGGCAACATAGCTAGACTTCATCTCTACAAAAAACAAAAACAAATTGGCCAGGTGTGGTGGCACTCGTCTGAAGTCCCAGCTACTCAAGAGGTTGAGGCAGGAGCATCACCTGGGCCCAAGAAGTTGAGGCTGCAGTGAGCCATGATCGTGTCACTGCATTCCAGTCTAGGTGACAGAGTGAGACCCTGACTCAAACAAACAAACAAAAAAAGAAATACAAGAACACCATAATCACCATCACAAAGACACATCAGCAAAATTCCAGAAGGCAGGAAATTCTACAGCCTTTACTCAAAGTATAGCTGACAGACCAGCCACACTAGTATCACATGGGTACTTGTTAAAGTTGTGAACTCCCGGGCCACACCTCAGACTTGCTGTATCAGAAGCTTGAATAAAATCTTCAGGTGGTTCATATGCACATTTAAGAATCAGTGTTCTACAGAACCAAAAAAACAAAAACCAAAAAAACAAAAACAAAAACCATGCAGAAACACACAAAGAGATGGAAGGGGAGACCATACATTCAAAAAGACATATCAACTGAATGCAGCGTGCACATGCTATTCAGATCTTGGTTCAAAAAATATGAGAAATATGCATGTTAATGTTTAAATCAACTTATGTATTTGGGTTAATGAACAAGTGAGAATTTTTCATTAAAAAGATACAAGGTACATTTAATTTTTTACACTGCTTGTCATTCTGTAAGTATGACTAGGCAAAGTGAAAGCTAACCAAAAGCTAAATGACAGAGAATATCACTGGATAAGTTTATTTGATTTATTATATTTTGTTTATTTTACTGTATTTTGGAGTTGTAGGGTACAAGTGAGGATTTACTACATAAGTAGGTTGCATGCAGGTGAAGTTTGGGCTTCTGGCTGGCCCTCTCACCCCCATAGTGGACCGGGTAACCAGTGTGTTGCCATGCGCCCATCTCCCTCCCCTAGCAATGTCCAGTGTCTGCCAATCCCACCCTTGTGCTTGTGTGACCCGAGATCAGGGTCTGCTTATGAGTGACAACATGTGGTATTCAGTCTTTTGTTTCTGTGATAGTTCACTTGGTAGGATGGTCTCCAGTTGCATCCAAGTTGCTGCAAAGGCCATGATTTTGTTCTTCTTTATGGCTGCGTAATACTCCATCATGTACCGCATTTTCTTTACCACCGGATAATTTTAAATGTTACTATGTAGACCCCTAGTACCCCAATACTAACAAGAAGGTGAACATTTTTATTGACATGGATGACATTAAGCAATCTATCAAAACCTCTTCACAGCACTGCTTGTTCATGAGAAAGGAATCAGGGGACGGCAGGTGCGGGAGTGGAAAGAAGTGACTTTGGCCAAGTCACCACCTGCTCACCAATTGTAGGTTGCAAAGGGGCAAATAATTCCAGTTCCTGTGCCTGGCTCCACAGCCATCAGGTTCACATGCAAGCATGCATATGGAAGGACCCGCACATCACAGAGCACTAGTCAGATGTTATTTGCTTTTCTTTTTCTTTTTAAAACACAGAGGCAATCTGGTCTACGAGCATGAGCTTTGGAATCAGACAGGACACACAGGTTTGCATCCCAGCACCAACCTCTGTGGGATGGGTGCAAGTGAGTAAGCATCTCGAACTCTCAACAGCCTCACTTATAAAATGACAAATGACCTTGTGTGGTGCACTGCGGGACAGTCTAATTAGTTGCTTTCTTTCTCTTTCTTCTTTTTTTTTGAGTTGTCTCATTGTTATCCAGGCTGGAGTGCAGTGGCAAGCTCACAGCCACCGCAGCCTCAACCTGTTGGGCTCAGGCAATCCTTCTGCCTCAGCCTTCCAGGTAGCTGGAACTATAGGCACGTGCCACCATGCCTGGCTAATTTTTTGATTTATTATAGAGGCAAGGTCTCGCCAAGTTGCCCAGGCTGGTCTCGAATCCTGGGCTGAGACAATGCTCTCGCCTCCGCCTCCCGAAGTGTTGGGATCACAGGCAGGAGCCACCATGCCCAGCCGCTTTCTTTCTCTCTCTAGTCCCTTCCCACATTGTCCCTGCAGGAGGGGTGAGTGATCTCCCCTTTGATGTCGGTTTTGGCAAGTGACTCCTTTGGACCATGAGCAGAGTGGTACTTGCTACTTTGGAGCAGAGCTTTAAGAGCCATCGTGTGAACCTTTCCTTGCTGTCTTCCCTCTGCCAGGACAAAGGCCACCCAGATGGCAGCTGCTCCGCTGCCCAGCTCCAGGGTGGAGAGGAGCAGCGCCTAGCCTGCACGTGTGGCTCCGTTAACTTAATACCTTCACAAAGCTACTATGGAATAAAATATCACTTCCAAGTTCTCATTTGTGTTGCTCTTAAAATCTCTTTTAGGGCCACAGTGTACTGCTATGCCCAGACTCGGCTTTGGAAGCCGACACCTGAAGGAGTTAAAAATAGGCCATTCTAGCATATTGACTATTTTGAATTAAAGGCACTTGAAAAAAAAAAAAACAGCAGGTGATAGCAAGTGCAAGAAGATCACTCCGACCTTCATTCTATTTCTTAAAAATAGGAAATGAAGTTCCCATGTGAAAGATGCCTTCCCTGTAGCAGACAGAAAATAACATACCTTCAAGGACAAGAAGTTGAGACAGAAAGAATTCTGTGCAAGCCTTATTAAAACATGGCTTATCTTTAAGTCTTCCAACACAATTTAGTGGCTTTTTCATGACTTCCTATTTGTCCAATTCAGTGTGTAAGTATTTGACTCTAAGTCTTCTTTGAGTCTTCATTTCCTGACAGCTGCTATGCCACATAAAACTTACATATGAACTTTTACAGAAGCTCAGACCACATGCATTAAAGTATATACTTTTCTCTTGTTAATCTGTCTTATATTAATTTGATTCTCAGACCCAGTAAACTTAACAAAACCTAAAAGGGAAAAGGGAAAGTTCTGTCTTCTGTATATACCAATTATATGGTCATGTAAATTCCAGCCTCTCCTGACTATACAATACTTAAAATCCTTAGTCTAATTTACCCAAGGTATAACAATGTTACAGGATCATTTACATAAATATATAGGAGTATTGAATGTGTCTGCATTAAAAAAAAAAGTTACAGTTACTTTAAGATGCAATTGGAAATATGAAAAGATTTTTAGTTTATACAGTGGAAGAATTCATAGGAATTTGTTCAAGGTTTTTATACCATCACTTTTTTTTTTCTCTCTCTCAGTTGGGATCTCACTCTGTCACCCTGGCTGGAGTGCAGTGGCACCATCACGGCTTATTGTAGCCTCGGCCTTCTGGGTTCAGGCAATCCTCCTCCCTCGGCCTCACGAGTACCTGGGACTACATGCACATGCCACCACACCCGACTCATTTTTAAAACTTTGTGTAGAGACAAGGTCTTGCTTTGTTGCCTGGACTGATCTCCAACACCTGGGCTCAAGCAAGCCTCCTGCCTCCACTTCCCAAAGTGCTGTGATTACAGGCACGAGCCACTGTTATCAGCCCTTTTATACCATCATTAGAATAATTCTTACAATAATTTTAGTAATTTAAAATAATTTAGTTTTTTTTTCATTTTTAAACACCTGTGCTATTAGTGTTACTTAAAATGTTTTAAGACAATCTAAAGTAAGAAGAATCTTGGAAAACTTGCCTCTTGACAGGTGTGTGAACAAAGTAACTCACCAGGGTGTTGAGTGATCCCTTCAGGAATAATCTGCTTCCCAATCACTTTCTAACTGTTGGTGCTAACACTGAGATAACCAGCCAGCAGCAGAATACCCAGCAGTTATTTTCCTACCATTTTTAACACACTACTGGGTTCAGGCTTTTACTCTAACTGAAATCACGAACGTGGCTGGATGCAGTGGCTCACGCCTGTAATCCCACTACTTCGAAAGGACAAAGCAGGAAGATTACTTGAGCCCAGGAGTTTCAGACTGGCCTGGGCAACATAGCAAGATGTTATCTCTACAAAAAATTAAAAAATTTAGCCAGGCATGGTAGTGCCTACAGTCAGAAAAATAAAATAAAATCACGACCCCAACAAAGCTAAATATCCACCAAACCATGTGGACGCTTTTACACTAGTCTGGTGAGTCAGTAGTTAGGCAAAGTACATGGCAAAACAAGTGAAAAATTTCTGAAACAGAAGTAAGAGTGCTAAGGTTGGATTTTAGCCGATATGCATATGGGAGAAAAAGCTAGAAAAAAAACCTGATGGTTGTTATTGTTATCTTTGGTTGCCAAACAGTGACTGGCAAAGTTATTTTTCTGGCTAAAGGTGTCACTTGTCTATTTCCAGGGACACCCATCAAAACCCGGGAGTAGTGTCAGTTTCGGGATAACTTACGAAGAGAGGACATGCTCGAGGTACTCCGGAGAAACTGGTGCAAGCCGTCATCACTGTCACTGGAGCTGGCTATGCTGTTCCTCATTTCCAGCATTGAGATATGTGTGCAGAGGCTGAGCTGATGTTCCAGCTTTTTGGCCTTCTACAAAGCGAAGTTGTAATATTTCTGAGATGTATGGGACTTGGATCATATATTCACTTTAAGTTGCATGTACTCTCCTTGAAATAATTTGGTGCATAAAAAAGAGTACCTGGTACACATTAAGAGCCCAATAAACATGAGCTGTGGTTTTGATTATTAGCTGTTACTACAAATATGTTAGTGAAATTTTAATATACTTGATAGACTACTTATTAATCTGAAATAATAAGTACAAGTTTAATTTGATAGACAGCCTAGACAATATAACTTTGAGAGGGCACAAATGCAGACTCATTGTCCCTGGATAACAGTACTTATCACAGACGTGACGTTTTGCAAATTCCCTCTTGTAATACTTTTAATGTCCTTCTAAACAAATGTGGGAAAATTAGGCTCATGTTGCAAATTGTTGAAGCTCTATGCAGCTCTGAAATTCCATAACTCTGCTATCAGCTATGGGCTTCCTGGGAGAAGGCCTGACCAGGAAGATGTCAGGAAGGGGCTTCGCCAGGAAGAGAGAGCCTTCCAGCGAGCTCCCTGCTCGCTGGCGTCTGTCAGCCTTCCTCTGTCTGCAACCTCCCCACTACCCTGCCCTCCTGGGCCTATTCCATCTCCCACTTCCTCATCATCTTCCTTATTAAAAGACTCTCTTGAAGAGGACAGTACCTCTCATCACCATAGACACTGGTCCCTGACATGTATAGACCTCTCACGAAGAACAGTGATGGCAAATGTACTCATTACAAAATACCTTCTGCTCTCAAGAAATGATTCCCTGAAGGATCTCTACCTTCCAAGTGTCCTAATTAACATATGACTACTGAAAATTCAGGAAAATATGTATTTTGTAAAGTGAGATATACCTCATATACACATTTATTTAACAAAATAAACAAACTCAGAAAAAACTTACTTTATCATTTAAGGTGGGATCATTCAATGAGTAGAGCTTATTTGTAATGTCTTTTCCAATAAGGTACCTAAATATTTCATATAGGAAAGGTTCTGATTCCAGAAAGTACATTAATCTTTCTCTTGACCAGCATAAAAATCTGCAGTTATCATCTGCGACAATGGTGACCTGCCAAAGAAACAAGCAGGCACAGAATAAAGTACATTTACGTATATAAATTATGACTACAGTTATTTGGGAGATAAACAAAGTAGAATAATTTAGTCGACATTGTCATAGCAATGACCTGTCAAATTAAACTAAACTAAAATCCAATGCCCACAAGCTTCTATAACTATGTATAAAGTTATGTTTTTTATTTATTTTAATTTTTTATTTTTTGAGTTGGAGTCTCACCCTGTTGCCCAGACTGGAATGCAGTGGCATGCTGTTTACGGCCACCACAGCCTAGACCTGCTGGGCTCTAGCAATCCTTCTGCCTCACCCTTCCAAGTAGCTGAAACTATAGCCGTGCGCTACCACACTCGGCTAATTTTTGATTTACTGTAGAGACGAGATCTCGCCAAGTTGCCCGGGTGGGTCTCGAACCCATGGGCTCAGGCAATTCACTTGCCTCGGCCTTCCAAAGTGCTGGGATTACAGGTTGAGGCCACTGAGCCATAATGTTTTTAAAAAAGCAATCTATAGGGCAACCCCTTTGGGTCCCCTCTCACTGTGGGAACTTTTCTGTCCTCTCAATAAATCCTACTTTCTAAAAAAAAAAAGCAATCTGTAGAGTAAATAAAAGCAAATTCTCCAAGTTTTGTTGTTGTTTCATTAGGTCTGGTGACAGAAGAATGGCCACTGTGTCAGTACCACTGCGTACCATACACTAGACTGAGGCTGCAATTGGACATATTATTTACGATACATATTTCTTTTTTTGTTTGTTTTGAGTTGGGGGTGTCTCACTCTGCCCAGGCTAAAGTGCAGGGCACAATCACAGCTCACTGCAGTCTCTAATTCCTAGGCTCAGGCAATCCTCTTGTGTCAGTCTCCTGAGTAGCTGGGACTGTCCAGTTAATTTTTTGATTTTTAAGGATCTCATTATCTTGTCAAGTCCAGCTAATTTTTTGATTTTTAAGAATCTCATTATCTTGCTTAGGCTGGTTTTGAACTCCTGGCCTCAAGTGATCCTTCCACCTTGACCTCCCAAAGTTCTGGGATTACAGGCGTGCATCACTGCACCCAGCCATGATAAATATTTCTTTACACTCTGTAGATTACAATGAGGGTTATTTATGACTTCAAGGGTAGATGTGTGAGGCAAATTGAGGATAAAAGACCTTCTGCCCAGCCAACTCCATAAATATACACTACAGATTGAGAAAACTTCAAGGGTCTGGACTGTGGCTGATTAATATGGCTGGCGAAGGTCCTTCTGTCATAGCTGTTTCTGTGTGACCTTTCAAGCCAGCTCCAGGGTAGTCCACCAGAAAAATTCACAAAGACCCAACCTCCAACCCCTATAATTAACTCAGAACTGGAAACCATACTTTCCCCTAGTTTGTTGTTACACAGGAAAGCAGGAAGGCACCGTAACTGCACTACACAGAGTTCAAGTATCCCTCAAATAAATCCTTTCCCCAGAGTAAGGAGTCAGACCCTCACAACTCAGTGTCAGGAAGGCTGTCCTCCCAGGCACGTCTTCCATCAGCTAATACATCTCCAAGCTTCGTTACAGCACTCATATCACTAGGTCCACACTCATCTGCTGGCCTGTCTGTTCCCCCAAGCACTCTGATGGCAGGGATTGTGTGTCTTCACGTCTGAATGCCCTTGGTGTTTAACCCATGCTTATGGTATGAAGGAATTAGCAAATGAATACAAATATAGTAGAAGGCAAAAAACCATTTTTACATCTTTAACATTAAACCCAATGCCTGTCCCAGTAGGAGATTAATAAAGATTTGGTAAGTTGAAATGAAGTCCTACCTGGGATTCAGAGCAAATATTTCCAAAGGAGCTTTTCCCTGTTTTTAGTCGTAAAATTAAACACATTTCAGATGACAAGGGGTATTTATGTCTACCAAGAGAGGAAATGAAAAACCCAGCTTGTCTCCTTACATCAACAGGCTGAAATCTGATTGTTAGCAAATCAGAGCATTTGGCTACTTTTAAAAAATGGGTCAATGTTTTTAGGAAAAAATAAGTTTGTACTATTTATTATATTAAAATAGGAATCCCTCAAACCAAACATATTTGCATTTAAGAAACACATCAGCAGTTCTAAGACCTCATAAAACTCAAATTTCTTTTTTTGTTTGTTTTTATGAGTCAGGGTCTCACTCTGCCATCCAGTCTGTAGTGCAATGGTATGATCACTGCTCATCACAGCCTCGACCTCCTGGGCACAGGCGATCCTTCCAAGTGGCTGGGAATACAGGCATGTGCCACTGCGCCCAGCTAATTTTTTAATTTTTTTGTAAAGACGAGGTCTTGCTATATTATCTAGGCTGGTCTTAGACTCCTGGGTTCAAGCAATCCTCTGCCTTGGCCTTCCAAAATGCTGGGATTACAGGCATGAACCACCTTGCCCAGCAATTTCATTCAATCTTTCAATATACATTACTATGCACATACTTTATGCTAGATGCTATTTAAGGCACCCTGGTTACAATGGTGAACAAGAAAGACAAGATCCTTTCCCCGTGAAGGAGGGAGGTTGATAACAAAGAAATATGACAAACTCAGATAGCAGTAAAAGTCGTGACAACTTCAGAGCAAGAGAAAGTGGTAGAGAATTACAAGGGGATGACTGTCACACATAATGCCATGCACTCTGAATCTGTGTGGCACTTTTAAGCATTTAAGGTGCTTTACATCTATCATGTAAGGGGAATCCCAAGAGTCCCTTCAAGACAAAATAAGTAATATTCTTCCCCATTTCTCAGATGCCAAAAAATTTATTCACCAACACATGTTAATCAGTGGTGGAGTGAGCACTTTTGACGTCCAGCACAGACACGTTTTTCTTTTAGGTCAAGATCTATCCCTTGCACCCAATATTCAACAAGACGAATGCACAGAAACTACTTTAGCCTGGACATGAATAGACACTTCTTGAAGGAAGATATACAGGAAGTTATACACATGGAAAAACGCTCAGCCTCACTAATCATCAGAGAAACGCAAATGGAAACCACAATAAAATATCACCTAACTCCAATAAGGATGGCCATTATTGACAAATCAAAAAACAACAGTTGCTGGCATGGGTGCAGAGAAAAGGGAATGCTTCTACACTGTTGGTGGGAATGCAGGCTAGTTCAACCTCTGTGGAAAGCAGTGTGGAGATTCCTAAAAGAACTAAAAATTGACCTTCGATACAGCAATACCTTTCCTGGGAATATACCTAGAGGAACATAAGTTGTTCTACCAAAAAATACCGGCACATGCATGTTTATAGTTGCACTATTCACAGTAGCAAAAACATGGAACCAACCCCACTGACCATCAAAAGTGGACTGGATAAAGAAAACGTGGTACATATACATGATGGAGTATTACACAGCCATAAAGAAGAGTAAAATCATAGAATTCACTGCAAATTGGACAGAGTTGGAGACCATATCATACTTAGTAATCTTTCACAGAAACAAAGAACTGAATATCACATGTTCTCATTAGTGGGACCTGAACATCAGTCACATTCGCACAAGGGAGGGATTGGCAGTCAATGGACACTGCCAGGGGATGGAGGGGGTACGTACCATTACAAAGGGTACTTGGTCCTAAATCAGGGGAAGTGAGGGCCAGTTGGAGGCCCAAATTTCACCTTCACAAAGTCTGCTTGTGTAACTAATCCTAACTTCTACCCCACATATCTATAATGTAAAAAAAGAAAGAAAGAAAGCACTTTGGCCTAATGACCACAAGGCAGGAGCCACAGTTCATCAGGAACCCCTCACACAAAGAATGGCTGAACACACATCATGAAGCTGACGTTCTAGTGAGGATGCTGATAATGAGTAACGACATATGATAAAAAATGGCAAGGTTGATAAGAAGAGACATATACACAACTAGTCCCAGGGAACCCCCAGAAACAGGAGGAGGTGGCTGAGCAAATGGAAAGCAACTAGAAAATATTCCAGGGGAGTAAGAACAGGAAGGTAAGCACTGGGCACTCATGATGGCCTAGCCACGTACTTGAGTGCTCAAGAGAGAGTCACAAAGAATTGAGGTCCCCATTGCGCAAAGATGTCACCCATGACTCTGGAAAACATAATTCATGTGCAGTGGGAGAAGGAGTTCAAAGAGGAGTTGGAAATCATCCAGGAGCAGCAGAAATTGGACTTGGGTGATGCCTAAGGCATTTCACTTCTCTTCAGACATTTGAATTACCTCAAATTTCTACTGAGGCAATGATACTTTTAGTATGACACTTAACATTTGCTTCACAAATTCATTTTTAATTGATGGCTGGAAATTACTTTAAACCCATTTAAATTATTATTGAATACAAATTTAGTAACAGTATTCAAATAATAAGCCATACTTACAGTACATATGAGCAACTTCCAGGCCCATGAGAGCATAGGTTTAGTTGGAAGCCAGCTAACGGAAATCATTTTACTTGATAACTAATGCTTCATTTCTGCCAAAAAGATGGTTTTATTTAATGATTTCCTGTCACAACAGTCAAGTAAAGTGTATTTTTCAATGAGAATTTTTATATAAAGCAACATAAGAAGTTTTAAAGCTTCCATAAAGTAAGCTTCCTTCTTAAGTTATTAAGTTTCAGCAGTGCTGTGCTTGAGTTCTTGTGAAGAATTTTAGAGAATAAAAGCAAATATAGCAATGAAAGGTCCAAAGGGACATCTTCCAGGCAGAGAATCAGACTAAGCTCTGGCAACCGGGTTGGCCACAATTATCTCAAGGCAATGGATCAGCTTCTCACTTGAGATTCCCAAAGAGTTCTGCTGCCTGACACAGAGGATAGTGGAGACAGGAACATTTTGTAAACACCAACAGGAATATTTTATAAACAATCCAAGCACAATCTCCCCCGAAGGCTTACTCTGATGGCTTCGACTGTACAGGACTAATGCTTGACAGGAAAGGCCACATCAGACTCTATGAGGAGAAATGCTGACAGTAGGCAAAGCCAAACTTATCTCCATCCAGCTACAGGACGCAGTTCTGGTCATGTTTTTGGACTCTTCATAAAAATTACCAGGAACAATTCCCAACTACCAAAATCCACTCCCCCATTCCCAAGAAGAAAGAAAACTGTAGCTAGTGGTTGGAAGTTCTTTTTTGCTAATGTAATTAGAAATATAATTTGAAGTCCAGTGGGAGAGATAGTTAGTACCTGTTAGTATTGACCTCTTGGGGACCACTTGATTTTGGAAAGAAAGGTGGCTCAGTTTCCACCCCATCTTCATATTTCAGTCTTTTTAGGATTATGTGTGACAGTTACCATAGAAAGCCACCCGCTACTATACACGAGAAACAGACTCAACAGATATATGTTGGGTTTTGGAAGAAGAAACTGTAAAAAGTCAGTGGAAAAGAGAGAATTAAGTGACCCTGTACCAACATGTAGAGGGTGGTGATGATAGATAAAATAAGAGCATAAATCTCACGGCAAAGCTGACCCTCACAATAACAAGATGACAGAGTAAACACAGGAGCCAGGGTCTGGCATTAGCTTTCTTCTTCTGTGTTGTAAGAAGAACAGTGTTGCTCACAGTGAACTCATGTGGGAATGGTGGTGCACACAGTGAACACATATGTAACTCAGGCCAGTTACTCAGGTAGGGTGGGAATGAGGCAGGGCTGAAATCATCTGAAATGAAATCAACTAAACTGTATGTCTGTAATTTTTTCCTTTTATCTATACTCTTGTGGAACCCCAAAATGTATGGCATCTCAAAATGAGACTCTAAGGTTTTACCATCAAGAAACAGTGACATTTCTTCCTCCCTCAGGTGGTAACATCCCCCGCATTACATTTTCTCCTAAATGGATTCACCTTCTTGCTCATAAATAATCCTGGTCTCAGGATATTTCCCTACTGCTGCTTATCCAGAGGCCAAGGCTAAAGGAAACTCTCATTCATTTTCTTGGTTACTTTTCTGCCAATAATGAGGTGAATGAATAAAACAGGAAGCTGGACACTTAGAAAAAGAATCAGAAGAAAGTACCATGTAATGAAGCAATTTTTTTTTTTAGCACAAAAGAGTCACATAGGCAGTCCACATTCAAATTATTGCTACTATGAAGAACTTCACTCTTTGTTCTTAAACATATTCGTTAAGTATAAACAAATAATTGGATATTTTTTCATGAGAATTACAAAATAGATTCTCTAGGGCAAAGTCAGCTTTGTTTTGCCTCCAAAAAAAGTAATCAATTCCATGATTTAGGAACACTGATCACCGACAACTGACATTTTCCTTTTTTCTAATAAAAGCACTAGATGTTTTCTATGGAAAAATTCAAATAAGCAAAAAAGGGAAAACATAAAAAAGCAATCAAACTCACAATCTAGAAATAACAGTGTTAATATTATGACCAAATTAAGATATATTTTTCTAGAATTCTTTTGGTAAACACATATACAATATTTTTTAAGTTTCTTAAAAAATGAGATTATACCTTATACACCTTATGGTAACATCTTTTTTTTTTTCCAGTAAATCACAGCCAAGTTTCTATTAATATCCTCTGGATTTTGAATGAGATGTAAGGTTGTTTAAATCTTAAAAATAATGTGGAATCGTACCTGGAATTTTTCACCCTTGTGCATCTGAGTTGACCTAAATTCAGGAGAATCTATAAAAGCACAGGGGTAAATGTTATGCAGAAAATGTCCTCGATAGGAGACCTTCATTCTGATAACAGAAACCAGTGTTAATATATACATAATATTCCACAAGTAACATGACAAGCTTTAAAATAGCCATTCTCTAAGTGATGCATTTTATACTAAAACTTTAAGGATACCACAGACGATGGACATAATTAAAAGCACTTCCTGGGCAACCCATTCCAGTCCCCTCCCACTCTGGGAGCTTTCCTGTCCTCTCAATAAACCTGCTTATAAAAAAAAAAAAAAAAGCACTTCCTGAGGCACAAGTACTTCAAAAAATAATGTAAGAAAAAGAAAAAACAACCAGCCATGTGCCTTCTGATGGTTATCATTACTCTTATAATTGCAATGACCATGGAATTTGATACTCAAACTAGGAAACTTCTGAGAAAGGGGTGCCAGCAATAATGACACTGGCACAATACAACTGATGCTTTCCAGAAGACTGATATTCCTAGAAGGTATATTTTTGTGATATTCAAAACCAAAACAACAACAACAACAAAAATCACCTCTGAAGCATGCACAAGCTTAATGCTTAATTTAAGCCTACTTCAATTTTGACTCATTAATTTTTTGAGTCGGGGTCTTACTCTGTCGCCCACGGTAGAGTGCAGTGGCATGATCGTGGCTCACTGCAGCCTTGAGCTCCTGGGTTCAGGCAATCCTTCCGCCTCACCCTCCTGAGTAGCTGGGACTACAGGGGTGCGCCACCATGCCTGGCTAATATTTTTTGTAGAGATGAGGTCTCACTGTGTTGCCTAAGCTGGTCTCAAGCTCTTGGGCTCATGTGATCCTCCCATCTCAGCCTCCCAGATTACAGGCATGAGCAACTACACCCAACTTCATTAACATTCAATAAAAGGTCAAAAAAGATGAAAATGTTCACAATGGAAAAACTGACATCAACAACAGACTAGTTAATTCAACCTAGTTTTAACCTATTGCTCCATAGCATTCTGAAATGTAGTTGCAAAATAAAATTTCACCAACAACAAACTCTGTGACTGCCTTCTCCATGAGCTGACATTTCCTTCCCAGAGGCCATGGAAAGATTCCAGGCAAGCTAGGAATTTTGATTTCCACAAAGCACTTACCTTCCCTTCAAAAGAATACTCAGACGGTCATCAACTGAGGTTTTATCCTCTGCAGCATAAGTCTGGCCCTTTTTCAAGGTCTGGATCATGCAAAACTGTCCAGTTAATCTTCTGAACAAATCTGGAGGCACACGGAGTGGTTCAAACAATCGTCGATAGACGGCACTGAGTTCCTTTTCAATCTTGACCTGAAATACAGCAATGATTCGACGCTGCACTGATGCAGTGACACAGAAACATTGAGGTCTGTGGTTGAAACTTGGAATTGGGAATAGACAAATCTGTGATACACACCATCACCCTTCTGCAATTGACTCAATGGCACCTTACACAGAGAGTAAACAGTAAGTTCATAATTTAGATACTAAAAGGGCACTTTTACAGTTAAACGGAACTCTGAGAGCATAAGGGGAAGAGTCACACTATTGATCACACCTCTTCCTATGAGCTATAATGCAATTGCTGAGTTTTTGAATGGTGTCACAGCATTCACCTTCCCAATTTTAGCACTGCACCTTCTTGAACTCCTGGCTTCCTCAGTCTCCCAAAATGCTGGGATTACAGGCATGAGTCACCACACCCAGCCTGCTGACCTTCTATAAATACATGAAATTATATTATAATAAGAAAGTAAGCACATGATAGGAATCCATGTGAAAACAAATTTACAGCAATAATACATACATGAGGCATTTAATCTCCATGTCGTTATTACTGAATGCACCAGTGTAGGAAAACAAACAGACACAGCTGCACCCACTGCTTCACATACATGTATTCTCAAGCAAAGTGACATTAAAGAAAGGGTGTAACAGTTTCCTCTTAAGCTAAAATGAGCTCTGTAGAATGGAGAGTCCAATGGCAAACCAGTCTGGCTACCAGAGGAAGAGAAAAGCAGAATGGCTTAATCATCTCTGCTGTCAGATTCTCTAAGTTGCCAAGTCATGCCCCATCTTGGTGCCTTGCATTAGCCTCGGGGAGTCATGCTAACGGGGTGGATGGGAAACTGTACTGCACTGCATCTCTTGCAGCTACACCACAAAGTCTAGAGACACAGATCCTGACAGCTGCTCCCACCTGCTATCACTCTAGCATTTGCAATGCTCCTACTTGTTCTGCTCCTTCATTGTGATGAAGATCCAGTGTTTGCATTTTTTTAAAAAAGTAGATTATGGTCTGAGAAGAAATAAAGGCACAGACATGAAGCAATTTACCTATTTGGTGCGATGATCACATCAGCAACTCCTGAACCTTACATTTTCGGGTTCCAGCAAGTTCTGACATTCAGGAACTATAATCTTTACTATTACTATCATCTATCTCTCCTACTCCAGAGTTCTAGTAATGAATATTTAAAATGATTTATTCACAAATATGTCACACTTCCAACATGCACACTAGCCCATGTGGCACAGTAATGAACATATGATTTGAAAAAAATCTATTAATGCATATTCATAATCTGTTTATCCTGCAAGTTTCAGCTGAAATCTCAATTGCTTCTTGAAGTTCTATTAATTCATTGCCTCTCTGAAAGCATCCACTCATTAAATGTTTTTTTGAGCACCTACTGTGTGCCAATCATGGTTGACAGAGACAGGGAATAAAACAGTAAGTGTGGTATCACTGTTCCCAATTATTGGTTGCTCCCAACCCCTCTAAAAGGATTATATGCCACCCCCCACTCCACCACCCATATTATCAAGCTTGGCTGTGTCACTTGCTTTCATCCATGAAATGTGATAAGGGATATATGTCCCTCTGAGGGGAAGTTTTAAGAGACATTGGGTGTTTCTCTTTTGTACTTTTCCCTCTGTCAAGAGAATGGTCCAAACAGAACCTGCTGCTTTAGAAGAGACCCTGATGGTCAAGAGCAGTGGCTCAAGCCTGTAAACCCAGCACTTTGGGAGGTGAGGGGCAATAGGATTGCCTGAGCTCAGGGGTTTGAGACGAACCTGAGTAACATGGTGAGATCTTGTCTCTACAAAAAATCAAAAAAATAGCTAAATGCAGTGGCACATGCCTGTGGTTCCAGCTACTTGGAAGGCTGGGGTGGAATGATCAGCTGCCAATGCACGCCAACCTGGGCAACAGAGTGAGACTCTGACTCCAAAAAAAAAAAAAAAAAAAAAGGAAGAGACCCTGGAATATATCCAACACATAGAATAGAATCACAGCTGGCATACAGTTGCTACAATCTATAATAAAGTGGGTAAGAAAAAAAGCTCATTGCTGTTATATACCACTGAGAGTATCTGGTGATTACATAGCATAACCTAGAGAAAACTGACTAAGACAGTAAAACAAGGAAGACTGAGTTAGTATGTTTGAGGAGGTCACAGTCTAGTGGAATGCTTATTACATATCCTCTGGATCATTCCATTTGTCATCTCTTATGAATTGTCTGGTTTTCTAATAGTTTTCTACATGCACATCTGGCCTTGAACATAAGACTGGGGCAAGCAATATATTTTTTACTTTACTGAATGTCTGTGCTTTGGACAGTCAGTAAATATATACAGAATGATTTCTAGGAGGCCTGCTATTTTCCTTCTCTATTTTTGTTTTTGATATAATCAAGAAATTACAAGATACATCAGAATTGAAAAGAAAAAATCTAAACACTGGTGTTTTGATAACAACCCAATCCTATTGGTCCTAGTCTACAAAAATGGTGATTTCCTTAAGTGAAGACTTTAGGCTTAAGAAAAAATATATAGTTATTACTTTTAAAAAGTAGCATAGCCAGGCTCAATGGCTCAGCCTGTAATCCCGTGCCTTTGGGAGGCTAAGGTGAGTGGATTGCCTAAGCCCACGGGTTCGAGACCTGCCTGGGCAGTTAGACCTCATCTCTACAATAAATAAAAAAATCAGGCGTGGTAGCGCATGCCTGTAATTCCGGCTACTTGGAAGGCTGAGGCGGAAGGTGTTGGGAGCCAGCCACGGAGGCCCACTGAGCGTTAGGGATCAGGAAGGGCCGTTGCCCCCGAGACCACTAGGATGCGTTCAGGAGCTATTGACCCCATTTCCTCCCCCTTTCTACTCAGCACTAACCAGATTAAGCTCCTGTGAGCTCAAAACATAAAAACTCTGAGACTGGGACAAACACAAGCTAACTTTAGAAGCTCATTGCTCCCATTCTTCCACAAACTGCAGTTTTGGCTTTCACACAACTTATAATTCAAACTCGTGTCATATCTAAGAGCCTTAGTATTGGTCACAGGCTTCTGGGTCATGATCTTAGGATTTATTGAAGGTGTAAATTGTAGAATATAGTTTTAGAAGACAGCCATTTTGTTGAAAGAATGCAGCTGGGTTACTTGCAGGTAGCCCACTGTGAACTTTGGACTGGGCCACATTCCAAACATTCTGGGATGGGCCACTTTCGTTTGTAAAGTAAATACTTAAGCTTCTATAGAATTGTTTAACTTGGCATAAATCAATCAGCTTAGGATGAAAAAGGTTTATAGAATATGTCAGTCACGGATTAGGTTATCCTTTGTTATGGAATTTTAAGATTATCATATGAAAAGGGTTTAAAGGCAATCATTAATTAAGTTTTCATGGATTAAGGTTTCTGGTGGGTGGGGGACGCCCCTCCTACATCTGACTTTGTGTATAAAAGACCTGTTGTAATTCCCAATAACACACATCACTTCTGCACTAGACTGGAGTCCAGTCTCTTTCTTTCTCTCTCTCTCTCTTTCTCTCTTCTTCCCCCCAATCGCCGATGCCGTCTCTACCTTTGGGGTACCCTGAACCCAGCTGGAGCTGGTCTCCGGCAGGAAGGATCCCCGGAGCCCAGCAAGTTGAGGCTGCGGTGGCCGGGAGCAGCCACTGCACTCCAGTCTGGGCGACAGAGTGAGACTCCAACTCAAAAAAAAAAAAAAAGTAGCATAACTACTTGTATATTATTAGGATGTTTATAGAAATTGCATATTATTAAGTAATTATATAACTAGGCAAAGATATTTCTAAGTGACATTTGAGTATCAATAGACAAAAGAAATAATCAAGTGGCAATAAAGGGAATACTGTTTATCCATGTTCTTTAATATGCTGATAACTTTAAAAGTTTAAAAAACTCATTTGTTGAACAAATTTCATGTACTCAAATGTTTCACTTTCAGGCATATATAAACAGAAAGTGCAATTCTCAGATCAATGATATAAAAGGGAGTAAAGATGATATTCATTCTGTAGTCTGAACAAATTACCTTTAAAAGTTTTCCATTTTAAAATCACTTTCCTATTAATTAGTTTTAGTAATTACCGGTCTTTTCTTGTATAAAAGGTATGAAAGATGCAAAATGTTGACACCCAAGAACACAGAGTTCCAGATCATGATATCCAAGGCACATCGGTAGAGAGTGGCCCAGACGATATAAAGGGTACATCCTGTTGAAAGACAGAGTTAGCAGATTAGATATCCAGAACAGCCTCAGTAGGTAGCTTACTAAATCTATAATCCTCTATATAGACAGCAGTCCTCTCTTCTCCTAAGGGTACACATTCCAAGACCCACAGAAGATGCTAAAACCATGGATGGTATGAATGCTTATATTCACTATGTTTTTTTGATCTGATAACCAAGACAGTTATTTATTGACTGACAGGCAGTTAGCATAGAAAGCGTGGGTATGCTGGACAAGAGGGCGATTCACACCCTAACAGGATGGAGCAGGAAAGTGCGAGATTTCATCACGCTACTCAGAATAGCTTGTCATTTAAAACTGATGAACTGTTTCTTTCAGGTGTTTCCCAGTTAATATTTTCAGACTGTGGTTGACCATGGAAAATGAAACCATGGATAAGGGGGATTGCTATAAATCAAACACATTTTAGAACTACCTGAGTCAAATATCTCATTAAGTTTCATTTAGTTGTTTGTCTAATTACAAAAAAATAAAATAAAAACACCAAGCACGTGCTTTGTTGCAGAATATTTGCATAGAAAATGTATCAAAATACAAGTATAACAATATTAGTAAAGGGAAAAAATATGGAATATTATTACTTAAAGAAAACCACTGTTGACATTTAATACTGCCTTATGGTTTTCACGGAGTTTTACCTGATGGCAAACCCACAGTGTATACAATCTCTTTTTTTTGTTGTTGGAGTCTAACCTGTCACCCAGGCTGGAGTGCAGTGGCATGCTCTCAGCCACCATAGCCTCGACCTACTGGGCTCAGGTGATCCTTCCACCTCAATCCTCCAAGTAGCTGGAACTACAGGCACATGCCACCATGCCTGGCTAATTATTTTTGATTTATTGTAAAGATGAGGTCTCACCAAGTTGCTCAGGCTGGTCTTGAACCTGTGGACTCAGGCAATCCTCTCACCTCGGCCTCCCAAAGTGCTGGGATTATAGGCATAAGCCACCGCACCTGGCCACTGTGTACAATCTTAAAATCTCCTTTTTAATGTATTGTAGTGATTTTCCTGTTTCATTAAACTCTTTGAAAGCATAGTTTCTAAATGACAGTAATTGATTTAAACCATCATTTATTTAACCATCCCCCTTACTGCTAGAAAGACAAGATTTGGGGGATACAATGTTTGGTAAGTGGTAAAAAAAAAAATCTTTGTACATAAAATTTTTTCCGTATTTGTGATCATTTACTTAGGCTGAATTACCTGAAGATGAATGTAGGGAACGAACTGTATAGTTTTTTATAATATTGAAAAATTGTTCTTCCAAAAAGTTTGCACAAATTTGCAATCCTACTATTTGGAAATGCCAGTATCAAGTTGTCGTGTGTCACTTAATAACAGGAATATGTTCTGAGAAATGCATCGTTAGGCAATTTTGTCATTGCGTGAACACCGCAAAGTGTATTTACAGAAAGATGTGGAAGGTACAGCCTACTACACACCTTGTCTACATGGTATAGCCGATTATTCTAAGCTATAAATCTAAACATGTTACTATGGGGGGAGGGGATCTAAAAAAAACTCCAGATTTTATTTATAAAAAACTGTGTTTTTATTCTCACATGTCTAAACTTCAGTGACCTTCAAAGTACTCTCTGTTTGATGCAATACACCTACTGAGATGCTTTTTCCACTGTTCAAAACAGTTTTTGAACTCATCAATTTCAATGCCTTTGAGTGCATCTGGAGTTTTTGTTTCGCCTCTTCCACATCAGCAAAACGTTTCCCTTTGAGGACTTTTTTCATCCAGGGAAACAAAAAAAGGTCACTCTGGACAAGATCAGGTAAATAGGGAGAGTGGGGCACAGGGGTCATCGTTTCTTTGGTCAAAAACTACTGAACACTCAGCACGGTATGGGCAGGTGTACTGATTTATACAATGGTCAAACGCGTTGCAAGAATCTCCAAAAAAAGAAGAAAAAAATTCACCAAAGTCGCACACATCCTCTCACAACACTAGCTGGCACAATGATGCAAATGGGTTCCTTGAACACTTACATAGCAGGGGAACCCTTTGTTACAAGGGGTCCGCCCTCCAAAAAATAATTCCTGGTTTTTTGGGGTCCCCTCTCATATATTGAATGCTGTAGGCAATTATAACACAACTGGAAGTATGTGTATACCTAAATATATTTAAACATGGAAGTGGTATGGTAAACATATGGTATTATATTATGGGACCACTGTCCTATATGTGGTCTGTCACTGTCTGAAACATCATGTGGTATGTGACTGTATTATATCATTTGAAGACTCTTAATTTGATAGTGAGGAATTATGTATTATATTATATTCTGCATTTCCGTGATCACTGGTGAGCCTGCATATTTTCCCAAAAATTGTTTAGTCATCTGAATTTCTGCTTGGTGATTATCCATTCATCTTGGGGAATCTTCCTGCTTTCTCATATTAATTCTCTTCCCTTATATAAAATATCCCCCATTTCTTTTGATCAATTTTATGGTAGGAAAGTTAATACAGTATATATTTTAAATTTAAAATAAAATGATCACTAAGATGCAAATGATCAACACACACACGCCACCCAAAAGCTAACTGTCGGGCATGTGTTAACACAAAGGATTCCTGGTCCACTACCAGGGGGACGGAGGGCCAGTTAGAAGCCAAAGTTCACCTATATGCAGCCTACTTACGTAGTTAATCCTCACTTGTACCCCACATCTCTATGATAAAATAAAACTTAATTTTGAAAAAAAAAAAACTAACCACCCACTTTAAGTTATTCATTTGCAATTTTTTATTTCATCAGAATGATTTGGGGCATCTGAATAAATTTCAAAAGGTAAAAACTTACATTTTCTTTAAATAATATTTCACAGCAAATACTGGAGCAATTTAAAATATTATAAAAGAGACAGGCTAATAACCCAATGGGAGAACTGAGGGAGGCTGGGGCACCTAAATGATATTCCACTTCTCCCCTCATCTGAATTTGGGATGGGTCATTCTATTAGTCTAGGCCTGGCTTTCTTCATTGACAGAATAAAGTGTCAGACAAAAAGATCTCTTTGGTCCATTCTGCCTCCAAAACACCGGAAAACTGGCTTTTTCTTTTTCTTTTTTTTTTTTTTTTTTTTTTGAGTTAGAGTCTCACTCTGTCGCCCAGACTGGAGTGCAGTGGCCGCTCCCGGCCACCGCAGACTCTACCTGCTGGGCTCCGGCTATCCTTCCGCCTCAGCCTTTCAAGTAGCTGGAACTACAGGCGCGCGCTACCACACCCGGCTCATTTTTGATTTATTGTAGAGAAGAGGTCTCGCCAAGTTGCCCAGGCGGGTCTCGAACCCACGGGCTCAGGCAATCCACTCACCTCAGCCTCCCAAAGCGTGGAATTACAGGCTGAGCCACGAGCCCAGCTGGCTTTTGCTTTTTCATAGGGTGTGGTTTGTTTGTTGCACTTTCATTCACACCCAACTCCTCCTGCTGCAATCCTCACCTTCTCAGAGGTCACACGGCCACAGAAGTCCCACAAGCTGCCTGCCAGCTCACCCTGGCCTCTTCTTCCTTGGCATTTATCACATATTTTAAGCAAACGAGCTACTCTTCATTTGCCCCAGTACTCTGAGTTTCCTTCTCTTCCGTGCCGTCTGGTTAGATATCACACACACTCAGAAATCCTGCTCACCTTCCAAAATCCAGCTCCAGTGTTACCTCCTCAGTGGGACCTCGCTCTGCCTAGCTACTGAGGTTATCATGTCTCCACATCCCCCTGGACAATGAGTGCACATCTGCATCGCAGCATCCGACACGTCTACTGTGACTGCCTATCTGTTTCTCTACCAGCCGCGACAAGACTTTCTCAAGGATGAAGATTGCCTTTCTCAATCTTTCTCTGACACATTGCAGGTGCTCAAAAAGTACCTGACGCATGTATCATCAGGGAAATAATCACACAGAGAGTAATTTGTCAAGAATCACTGGCTAAAGTAACAACATATTTAATTGCTGGAGTGCAGTGGAGTGATCATAGCTCATGGCAGCCTCGACCTCCTGGATTCAAGAGATCCTCCTGCTTCAGCCTCCAGAGCAGCTGGGACTTAAGATGTGTACCATACAATGCCTGGCTTTTAAAATTTTTTTTAATTTTGTAGAGATGGGGTCTCACTTTGTTGCGCAGGCTGGTCGTGAATTCCTGGCCTCAAACAATCCTCTTGCCTCAGTCTCCCAAAATTCTGGGATTACAGGCATGAGCCACTGTGTCTGGCTGCTTTAATATTTTGATGTGAATCAACTTAACCTGCTTCATCAGGGTTACTGGATTAAAAAAAAACAACAAAGTTTTATTTGAACTACACTGTCTGAGTAATTGTTTTGGTTCCCAATGTTGCTTTACTGGCCAGAGCAAGTAAAAGTCTTTTCAAATAATAATATTTAAGACTATATAGTACTTACTATGTGCCGGGCTCTATTCTAAGTAAAATGTCACACACACACACACTCATTTAATTCTCACAACAACCCTAGGGGATACCATTATCTTTATCCTTATTTGATGCATGCGGAAACTGAGGCAGCAGAAAGTTAAGTCACCTTTCCAAGTTACACAGTTAGCAAGTAGTGGAACCAGGATTTTAATCATACAATCTGGCTCTAAAGCCCACATTCTTACTCATGAATGAATTTTCTGATATCTGGAAAATCTAAAATGTATAAAAGCACATATAGTTTTACCCAAAGTATGCAAGGAGGTATATGGCATGTGAAGACCTACGTTCTAAGTTACTTGATAGACTGCTAATTCAGTAACAAAGACACATTTTTTTGGTGTGCTATGGACCACAAAGAATATTGTGAAGCCCCTAATACAAAGCTCTGATGCTAGTTACAGAAAAGTTATATAAAACCTCAGTTAGGTATCTTACCTAGAGCAAACATTCCCCTAAGAAATATCATATGAAGGTGAAGAGTAGTTGGAATAACCAATCCAACTGCAAAACAAATGTTTGCTACATGAAAAACCAGGTGATGAATCTCTCTCCAGTTTTCACAAGTGGTTTCATTGGAAGGCACAGGTATGATACTTTCTAACTCAGGTGTAAAACCTATGGCAGCTGATTCTGCCAGTGAGTTGGACTCTGTGTAATTCATCTTGAAAATTCCTGCAAAAAAAATAAACAAAAGGACAATCATAAAAATGGCAATAAATGTTAAATCACAATTATTTCTGTGAATTAAATGTTGGTAAATAGACCTCTCTAGTACTTATGAATTAGAAAGACCCCAGTTAAAATTCCAGCTGTGTCACATATTAAATTTATCCATGTCCTTCCCTGTTAAAGGATGATAATACCTTATTTGCCTTATGACTAAATGAAATTAAATATATAAAATATCTAGCATAGTACACAACTATGCCCTCTTATATGTGTGTATGTGTATGCATGATTGTGGGGAAGGGAGGGATTAAGAAATTAACTTGTTTAAAAGACAATCACAAATGTTCATAAACCAATAATTACAAAGTTATTATAGTCTTCCATCATATTCCCACTTGTGACAATGAATTCAAACACGAAAAATGAAACGGAAAAACGAATTGTTTTAATACATTCAAAAATATTAACATCCCGATCTCTACTATTTAAAGGCTTCGATATTTAGAAGACTCTATTATTGTTGTTGTTGTTTCCCCCCAAGTCTTACTCTGTCCTCTAGGCTGGAGTGCAGTGTCACGATCACGGCTACCACAGCCTTGACCCGCTGGATTTAGGCAATCCTTCCACCTTAGCCCTCCAAGTAGCCGAAACTACAGGTACATGCTATCATGTCTGGCTAATTTTTTGATTTATTGTAGAGGCAAGGTCTTGCCATGTGGCCCAAGTTGGTCTCAATCACCTGGGTTCAGGCAATCCTCTTGCCCCTGCTTCCCAAAGTGCTGGGATTACAGGCATGAGAAGGCTCGATTTTTTACACCACCATTAAATCACTGTATCATACAAACATACATAATACATTCTCATATATGTACTAATATATAATCATATGTATTACCATAAACATTTATATGTACACAGAGAGATATAACATTTACATTTTTCTCTTTTTGTCTAATTTAAATCTCTACTTTTCTTTCCCATACGATTTCTAGTTGGTAGCATCTCACAAATAAAAAAGGGCGTAAACTTCCAGTTTACTTATGTGTAGGAGAGGTCATAAATATACACTTGACTATTTAATATTAAAACCCATGGCAAAAACATTTCAAAGAATACACACTTACACATGCTTATATAAAATAGCACAGTGACACTATTTCCAGACTCTATCATCTGTCTTTAGTCGCTGGTCCTTTTAAAAAAACTCTTTTCTGTCAGGCACAGTGGCTCATCTCTGTAATACCAGCACTTTGGGAAGCAGAGGCGAGAGGATTGCCTGAGCTCAGGGGTTCAAGACCAGTCTGAGCAACATGGTGAGACCTTGTCTCTACAATAAATTTTAAAAAATTAGCCGGGTGTAGTGGCGCATGTCTGTGGTTCCAGCTACCTGGAAGGCTGAGGCAGAAGGATTGTCTGAGCCTAGCAAGTCAAGGCTGCACGTGACCATGAGTGTGCCACTGCACTCCAGCCTGGGTGACAGAGTGAGACTCCAATTCAAAATATATATATATGTTTCTATTATCAATTGTACAAATTTGGTCCCTGCCAAATACTATGTAGGTTTACAGAATATGTGAATCGTTGTGTTTCAGGAAAAGAATTCCAAATGGGGACTCAAAATACCTTTAAGTTTAATTTAGAAATATGTATTTCTTTTCTTTTTTTGTTGGTAAAGGGGTGATTTATTTGAGGAATTTTTGGACAGAAGCGTGGTCTCGAGCAGCAGCAAGACAGTTAGATCTCTGCACTGTTACTCCTTAGACCCAAGACACACATACCATAGACAAAGAAGGTACATGCTCTATAGACAGTGAAAGGCAGTCCTCCAGAAAGGCAAAAATACTATGTGCATCATAGCCTATGATTTGTGCGATGTCATCAAGGTCACTTTGATCTAAAGCCAAGATTTATAGTGAGTACATGTTTCACTAAGGACAGGAAATAAAGTAGGGGTCAGTAAGTTTCCACAGGACTGGGGCTAATCAGAAGTCAACATGGTGGATTAGCATCTAAGAGGGACTCACTTCTGTCTGCATACCATCTTATACCCACACTTTTGTTTTTAACATTTTTTTACTTAGGTGTCATTTGTTGCCTTTACTATTTAATGTAATCCCATTATGTTTCCAGCATTTCTTTTTGGAATAAGATGGGTTAAAAATATCAATAGTAAGTGCTTAAATAATAAAGAATATGACTTTTAGAAATATGTATTTCTTTCAAAATGAGGTCACGCAATTAACCGTACTTTTCAATTTATTGTTCTCCACATACTAAGTAGAGGTTTTTGATGGTGGAATAATTGGCACAGAATGGGCATTCTGAAAGGATGTTAACAGACAAATGTGAAAGGATTCCACGTCTCTTAAAGGTGATAAGAAAATGCACACAAATTTACAAATTGAGAATGAAATGATCAAGCCAATTAAAGATCTCTTTACATAATTCTGAAATAGCTCATACATGCCATAGTAATAGTTGACTTACATCGTGATTTGCTACAAAAAAGAAAGAAACAAAAATTCAACTACTTTCCAAATATCTAAAATCAATAGGTATATAAGCCAATTGGGACGAAGGAGGAGGATCATTACATGAATAACTCCATTTATACAAAGTTTACTTTTGAGGGCCAAATCAGAATGAGTCTCAGAATTTCTGCAGGAGAGAGAAAGGTCCTGTGTCCTCTGTCACTCAAAAACTATTTACAGCCCTAGCATCACATAAGTTAACAGTAACCACCGTGTATATACAGCACTCTAGAATGTGCTTACACTCCCATGGTCTTTGTTATTTGTTTGTTATTCTAACTACTCTTTGTCCTCTGCAAGGTAGGGACAATATTTATTAATCTATGTCCTTCCAAGAGCTGGCCTCTGTAGAGACCGCCACAGAGACAGAGATGAGAGTCATACTGAGGGACATAAGCATAGCAAACATTTCACGTTACAGCCTCCTCAAACTGCAGTAATAAAGACAGGAGAGTGCCTAGCCTTCCTGGAGTTGACCAGGCCACCTGGGAGCCACATAAGCCAGGGAAAGACACTTCTGCTCCTTGGGTCTGTTTCTCCCTTGGAATCGAGGCGGATGGACTAGATGGTTTTTAAAAGTCTTTCAAGTTGTAATAGCCTATGGTTCTATTATGCATTTATGTAGTAAATCAATCATGCTCCCCGATTTCACCTGTATTTCCTACCTGTCCATTGTAGTTCAATTTCAGGCTTTTAAAAGTTCTCAAAGTGGCACTAAAAGTACCAATTTCTGGTCTAAGAAAAATGATAGGAAAACTACAATCTACTAACTCCCAAACCAGAAATACTAATAGCAATTTTTAAAAGGTAGATTCATTCAACAACATGTTTTGATGCACCAACACCTTACTAAAGATATATATAATTGTGTATTGTAAAATGCCAGTAACCTATTATCAAAAAATATTGATCGGATCTTACTGGCTTCAGCTCACTTTGATTACCACTTAATGGATTTAAGAGGCTTACACTGAACTATTTTGATACCAATAATGAATGGATTGAAGGAGAAAGGTTAGACTGGTAAACTCGTCAACTTTCAGATTAATTCTGATTCTAGCAAGAGAAATAATCTTCCTCCCATCAAGTCCTCAAAGTCTAATTCCTTAAATTACCTGTACTAGTAAAGTTCTGTTTATCTACTGGTTTTCAAAGAGGTGTTTTCAGGGCTAAATAGCTAAGTGGTGAAACTTACATGAAACCTTCACCAGACCACAAAAATGAAGACAGTAAAGCAACGAGCAAAAGTCGTGCCAGTGGATTTATTCATCCTGTAATTCTAACCGAATCTTTGCACCTCTTGGGAATGGCAAATGACACTACGCTGCTAAGAGTCTTTTTGAACTTATTCACGTTTCAAAGCAGGCAGTTTCTGGCACGTGTCCGGCCAACAGCCCGTTCCCAAAGGCTCGGGGAACGAGGGTGCGGGTGGGTGTCCAGCACCCCGGGTCCCCCGTCATCTGCACTCCCCTGGGGCCCCCCGCTCAGCTCGCCCCTCCAAGGGTCAGGGTCAACTGTCCTCCCTGACCGGGCGCTCTCTGCCCGCAGAGGGTGAGGCCGGGGTGGGCGACACGGCGCCCCCGGCTGCATGCAGTCTCCGCGCGGGACCCGGCGGCCCTCCGAGGGAGAGCCCCGCGGAGGGAGAGGCCGAGCTCACCAAAGGGGCGAGCGCCGAGGACCACGGGGCTCGAGCCGAGTCGCAGAGCTGACCCTCGAGGGTCTGTGGCCGCGGCGCCCAGCCGCGGGCAGAGGGCGACCTCCAAGGACGGGGAGCCCCCAGAGGGCGCGGCCAGCGAGGAGGGGCGGAGGACGGCGCCCCGGG